TAACATGTGCAGAAAATGATAGAAACATTTCTTGGGTACATAATTATGCATTAAACATTTTTATATACACAACAGATAAACAAAGTATATTTCAAGCATGTAATAAAGTATTATATTAATGAATATAGGTACCATAGATGTAGATGTAGCATAGATATCCACACTGCCTTTTGCATCTTTTAGAATAAATACAACTATTTCAAACCCTCAATGGCAACCTAAAACAACATCAGTTGTATATGCGCAACCACAAAGGCATCCTGCACCTCCAGTCAGTCGAGTTTCGAGGCCACCATCAACGGTGTACACCAGTCAACAGCCTCGTCTGATTACACCCACATGTCAAGGAAGATCTGTGCAAGCTACAATGGTCACTGGGATTCCTGGCACTCCGTCCAGATTAATAGCACCTGTTCTTCAAGCGAATAATGGTATTACAAGATTACCAGTTTCTCAAAGCAGACCCTCTGCTCCTCAAGCGTCAAATATATTACAAACTACACAACCTGGTAGATCTTCGACTCAAACTATTCAAGTAAATTATCATCTTTTATTAAATAGTTAATCAATTAACTAATATTGTTAAATATTGATATTAGTACAATAATCAGAATTGTTCTGAATTCAAATTGCAGCCCAATCAGTCTAATAGACCTCTAAGTACCACAGGTATTGTAAATCGTATAGCTGTATCAGCACCTGTAGTTGGAACTGCAAATAGAGTAACTGCTTCAGCTTCGGTAACCGTTCAACCCACAGTCGGAAGGCAATTATCAATTAACACTGTTGCTACTCCATCAACTGGAACTGTTAGTCGAATTGTAATCCCTTCTCAACAAGTATGTGTAAAATTTCCTTACTACACGAATTTGATATGAAAAATATTTTATTACTTTTTTGAGTATTGAGCAGAATCAATCATGTCATAGGTACAACAACAGCAACCACAGCAGCAACAGCAGCAGCAACAACAATCACAATCTCAAACACAACAGCGCGTTGTACAAACAGTAACTTCTTTGTCAAGTCTTAACACAGTGTCACGTGTAATTGCTACAACAGCAAGTACATCAAATACAACAAGAATATCACAGCCAGCATCAACTACTGTTGCTAGAATTACAGGAATGTCTTTACATCCTTTACCTTTAGCACCTGCAAGAGCTGCATCAACACCTGCTAAAACCGTACAGGCACAAAGTAGTATTGGTCAAACTGTACAAATTAAGCCCTCTCAACAATCTGGATTTCGGGTTTCTTCGGCCAGTAATACAAACAACAATTCAAATACAACGCCTGCTCAATCAGTTCAAGGGCAATATTTGCATCCACCACACACCGCAACTTACTATTCCTTTGAACCCACAGGTAATTTTCATTCGTTATTCGTAACGGTTTTGCAAGTAAATATTACTTAACGATATTATGCAGGTACATATACCCAGTATCGTCAAACACCGGTGAGGTTACTTGTCGAACCTGGGTACGATGAACCGCATACTAAAACAAATGCGTCTCCAAGACCAAGTATACTTAGAAAAAGGGATCATGACAATTCACCTATTAAAGGTACAAAAGTAGCAAAATAAACGACGACATATATTCGTACATACCTTATTTCGTAAAGACAAAGCTCGCTGACACGACTTTGTATTTTTAGGCGCGGCAAAGAATTTAGTTCCTGTACTTGCATCTTTACCACCTGTCACAACGTCTAGCCCACCATGCTCACCGAGGGGAGATCAAGATGGTGGAGGTTGTCAGAGTTCAGGGTCTACTACAGTTTCTGCAACATCATCGCCTGGACTTGACGAGGAACCAGAACAATCCAGAATTACTATAAATCCAACGGTAGAGATGTCTCCAAGGAAAAAGCCACGAAAACAACAACTTACCGGTGTAGAATTAACGGAATCAAGGTGTACAGAAGAGGAAATGCAATTCATTACAGAGGAAAGGATGAAGAAAGAGCTTAAAGAAGAACCGAAAGAAAAATTGTCAGAGAAAAGGCAGTCTTCGAACACACAATGTGATGTAATCAAATCTCCTACACAGCAACAAACAGTTTCGATACGAACACGGCCTACGCCAAGTTTATTAGGTTTGTGAAAGGAATGCAATTGAAATTATTATGAATATACGTTGAAAAAAGGGTAATTATAATCGATTTTACAGGGCCTTCCTGGAAGAATAGATGGAGTAGTAGACTTCATCACTACAGAAGACCGAACGAGGTTCGACCACGCGAGGAAAGACGACCTACAGTTGCAGAAATAGCTCAACAGAAACATGTATTACAGAAACTAAATGGTTGGAAAGTATATCATCTTACTGCGCAAATGGAAGACATTGCTGATCTTGAAAAACAAGTAGGTTTAGAGATTAATGGAAAACATGTGTTCTGCGCAATATCAACCAAACAACATCGTAAATTAAAATTTGTACAGGTCCATGAAAAGTTGAAAACAACATTAACCATGCTCGAATCACAACAAAATGTCAGGAATAGGCAAGATGATGGTCTTGAACGTGTAAATGAATTGATCAAAGGGAATATGCAACGCAGTAGCTTAATTAGTGAAGGAATGAATGAAGCACGCACGCAGCTTATAGCTATATTTCAACATAAAGCACCTATTACAGATATTTTACAACGGTGCGGCAACAAACGGGCTCAAAAGAAACGAGATAAATGAGCTAACGTGAGCATTAAGTCAACACGAACATGTCTATAAGAATCCCTTGCATAAGCAAGGTTTGAGAGGGAGTTATTTTTATCTGTGTCACAGAATCTATATTATAGGAGTAAAATAAATGGTTTTATAAGTCTATGACACGACTGTCACTAACATGTTTATAATTTTATTATACAAATCTATGACTTTTTATTTTAATATAATATGTATTATTCCTCTATTTCTTAAAATGTTTTTTATTTTGATCATACGATATATAATATATGTATATATGTATATATGCATATATGTAAGTGTACATGTAAGATAAATACACGTTATGTAGATATCTATAAATTATTATTTTTGAGAAACATTTTGATAAAGGTTTAAGTATTCAGTTATGAAGTGTTGATCTGACACAAAAGGATATTCGTACTATGAAGTGCTAGTTACACCATTGAAAGTTATTTTGTACATATTTCATAAACTATCATGCATATGAATGGATGTTACTATGGCAATAACATATCTCGGAAGTTTTTACTTAGCAACTACAGTAGTGTGATATTTAGGTGCTTTATCAACGTTTGTATGCAATGTTGAAAATCTGATAATCTGGATTAAATAATGAACTATCACAAATAATAATGTAACAACATGTGGTGGGGATATAGTCCTGCATTAGACATACAATCTGAAGTTAATAAATACGAAACTAATTGTCCAGGTGAATGCCTTGAGGTATTAATTGTAGGTGCTGGTGATGCAAGACATATTCTGAAGACAGTAGCATCGTCTTATTTACACCATGATCGTATTATAATATATAACGTAGTCGAATCAACATTGGAACAAGTTGCTAGATCCATTCTTCTATTAAGTACAAGTTTAGACACAAACCTAGGTATGTACAAAAAATCTTTTAATTTGCATATATGCACACATGCAACTGTATTTACTAAAAAAATATTCTTTTCGTTTTAACATAAAATTTTTTCTCTACAAAAAATAAAAAAAATTGAAACAAAGGTTTACAAGAGGCAACTCGATATTATTTAGAAATATTTGGGAATACATTAGTAAGGCCTGCAACAGCGAAGTATTTGATAAAGTGTTCAAACCATTTGGCAAATATACCAACAAATACAAGTGATTGCCCTTGGTTAAGTTTAGAAAAATTCAAACATAAAATTTTGGGCACGTGCAACATGTGAGAATATTCCTATTGTGGAATATTGGGATCAAAGAATTAGAAAATCGTTGAAAACAAGATATGATTATCGTGAAGGTGTTTTTGACTGGGATTATCATATGATTTTGAAATCTAGAGGTGTTTCAAATTTAACTTTACAGGAATATAGGTATGCTTGTTAAATTTTGTAGAATATTTACAAAAATACTGTTACATCAATATATTCTTATAAACATCTTTTTACAATTCATTCTAATGTCAGATTTTGGAGAAATAATGGAATAGCATTTACTTGGATAGAAGGTGAATCTGTTAGGAGTAATCCAACATTATTGAACAATATAATACAACATGGGCCTGGATTTATACATTACACTTACTTAGGAGATATTACAAATGGTCCCTTTTTTGCTTGGGCTTTACAAGAAACAAAGGATAACCACATGTAAGATGCACCTTAAACCTGTAAATTGGTGTAACTTCAATTGTACAAAATTTGTAAAGAATAATATAACAGGTATAGAGCAGCTGATGTAGCTGAACAAGAAGTTATGTGTTCTATATATGCAATCAGAACAAAAGAACCAATATGTAAAGACCTTATTGGGTCACATAGAGATTCTTGTATATTAAATGGTACATTAGTAGTTGAAACACCCAATAAAGAAATGGAACAAGAATCATGGAAAACTAAAAGAAATAAATATAAAAAAGACGATATATCTTGGACAGATATTAAAAATCATAAAGTAATGTATAATTTTACTTAAGTCTTAAATTATTTTTATGAAATTACCAAGTTTAACAAAAGTATTATATTTTTAGGTAATTTTTCACCCCATGGCATCTTTAGAATCTTTTAAATATAAAGAAGAATATGTTAATAGATTCGATTTTATTTGGACAGCTCACAATACAGTGAAACAGTTACCTAATCTTGTACCATTGCTTAAAAAAGGAGGAATAGTATTGGTGGAACTTCAGAAGTATCTGGTGGAGTCACGAGAGGAAAATTTACAATGCTTTCTACAAGAATTAAAAAGTGTAGCACAAGCAAATGGATTGTGTGAAATTAATGATATAAATGCTAAAGAACATTGTATCGCTAGATTTTGCAAATAAATAGCAATTTAAATTATGTCTACTACCCTGATATTTCCACAAATTAAAATTTTCTATAATTCGTTTGAAATCTCCCATGAAATTAAATATAATTTGCACAGTTAAACATATAAATTGGTCATACATTGTATATATGTATCTACATGCACGCATGTATTCATATGTGTGCATACATATTTTTCGTACAATTGTCTAATTCAATGCAACGAACAATCTACAAACTGTTTTCTGTTAAAAACGTAGATCTATGATTCTAGAACTTATTTAATGAAAGATTAACAACGGTAATCGGTCTTAATAAAATAGCTGATGAGTTTTCAGACATGTTGGAAATCGAAGTAACTGATAAAACAAAAATCACCAAATATTGTTACGTATAGTGAAAAATCAAACTAAGCATGGTTATGAGAATCACCCAAAATCGCGGGAAACGCGTCCTGCTCCATCTCAGAGCCCCGTGAGGTTCAGTTACAATTCCTTAATAATAATAAACGAAATTATTTATGTGACATTAAATATATTTTTTTAAAAGTTTACAAGAAATACATTCTGATTTTTATATGCTGAACAAAAGTATGTGTTATTTCTCTGAGAAAGAAAGTAGCCCTTGAAAATCGGCCATCGCGGCTATTTTCAGCGATAATGAAAATTGTTTTCTGTGCATGAACCCTTTATGCACAAGTTCTAAAGTTTATATTGTATTTATTGTTAAAGAACTACACAAGGTTTCATAACATCGAACTATTATCGTTCTCAATTAATGAAGATGCTAAATTAGTTGAGAAACTATGAGTACTATCAACAGAGTGAATAGCAAGGTGGGCATAACTATTGAATCAAGATTTGACGCATTCGGGAAAAAATTGAACACAACGTGCTACAATTTCGAGGATGACAAAGAAGATTTCAGTGCTAATTCTAACAATATTTCACCTGGTCGAAGTCGTTATGGCAGGACAATAAAACCTAAGTCTCCCAAGAATGAGGTTGCCAGTTCTCCAAAGGCATGTTATGCCTCTTAAGATCAGTTATAATCTTTCTGATTAAAGATCAATACCATTCTTAACAAACTATGGTACTATGTGTAGTAATTTTTAATGTTCTAATGTACATATAAATTTTACTTGCATGATACATATTACAACAATTTGTTTTTTTTTCCCTTTAATTCTTTTCTTTTCTTTTTTTCTTTTAATGACATTATGTTTTTTCCAATTAAATATACTAATAGAATTTACACAACAGCACAAAGTAACTTATATATATGTGACTTGCAGAATTCTAAAATGCCAAAAACTCGAAAATATCAACATTCTTCTGACAGTAGTATTGAGAGTGCAGATGAAAATAATGTAACTAATGACATAGATGATACAAGCGATTCTTCTACCAGTATAAGTATGTCAGAGGAAAATGCTCCAAAATTGATTGGTTCACCGATGCAGTGTAATTGGTTGCTAGGTCAATTAGCATGGGCTAGAGTTGGTAATTTTCCTTTTTGGCCTTGCGTGATAACGCTTGATCCAGTTTTAATGGTATATCATAGATTAAAAGGTAAGGGTTTCTCTGTTTAAAATTTTATTAACATTACTAGTGTTGCACATAAAGTGTAATTTTCTTTGATTTCATTCCCTCTTTTTTGAATTTAATATTTTTTCTTTAATATAAATATTAAATTCTCTGTTCAATATTGAGTGTTATTGATTCTAAAAGTTATTTAAAGTATACTGTTATAATTTTATGCTTTGTAATTTATTTATTATTTGAAGAGCAGCTACTGCTAGATCGCAAACGCTAATGCTACATGTCCAATACTTTGGTGATAAAGGACGTCACAGTTGGGTTTCATCAAACTCTATGATTCCATTTACAAATCTTGCAGACTTCAAAAAATTATCAGAATCAATAACTGCAGAAGTTAAAAAGAGAGATGTAAAATATGCTGCAGCATTTGTTGTAAAGGCTGGTATAAAATCAAAGTGGGAAAGTGCGATTGAAGAAGCTATGGAAGTTCAAGCAATGAGCAATGAAGATAGAGCTCGAATTTTTAAACCAAAAGAAAAAAATATAAAAAATAAATCACCAAAAGCATTGGACGAAAAAGATAAAGATAATAAACGGAAAAACTTAAACGATTTGAGTGGACCTGATCTTAAACGGGCTAAACAAGATAATGTAGGCATGCGAACGAAACATTTAGTACAAATAAAAATAAAAGTTTGATATTATTAGTATTAGAAAATACTTTAATTAACAATTCCGCAGGTATATGAGTTGGATAAATCGCAATATAAAATGGACGGAGCAAAACCGAAAATGCTGAAATATGTTGAGAACGGTGAAAATCATTCGAGACTCAGTTCAGATACTCCTCCATTATCTCCCTTAAGTCAAAGAGATTCTAATGATGACGTTCCTATTATGCAGAAAGTTGAATTTAAATCTGAAGAGGATATAGATGGTGTTTTTGAAGTTTATTACGAACGCAACCGTGATATGTTAGAAGATGAATATCCGGATGCGTCGGAGAACGATATTAGAAGATATTTAAAAAAGACTTGGGAAACTATGAATTCTTCTTTCCGTAAAAAATACAGGTCATATGTAGCGTCAGATAGTACAGGTAGTCACATGAAGGAGAATTCGTCAGACCATGAAGACGATTTATTAGTAGAAATAGATGGGAATACCAAGGATAGTAAAAAGTCAAGAAACAAAGTAGAAAAGGAAGATATGAGTGTTACAGAAACGAAAAGGAACAGACCCTACAATCTTTTTAAAGGAATGAAGCAAGAGAAAGTTTGTCAAATATGTGAAAAAACTGGAAAATTGACTAGATGTAAAGGTCCTTGTTATTCATATTTTCATCTTTCTTGTGTAAAACCAGGAGAATCCAGTCCAGAACATTCCATCGATGAGAATACAATGGATGATAAGATTCTAGATGACATAAAAGAGATTAAACGAAGTAATATCGATGACGATGAGCATAATGGTATGAAGAATTGTTATCTACATTGTGATCATGTTATATTTAATTAAATGAAAGTTGTTTCTAATTTTAGGAAAAATGGATGAACAAGAAGATGAGTTATTCAAATGTATTGATTGTTTATCAGGCGTAGCACCTGCTTGCTTTATATGCAATGAAAGAGAAGGAGATAGAATAAGATGTTCCGTATTAGCTTGTGGAAAGCATTACCATTCGTCTTGCTTGAAATCATGGCCACAAGTAACGTTTGATAATAAATACTTTATTCATATTTAAATTTTGTAATATTAAATTCATAATTAGATAATTCTTCTTTTTTTCTCGATAGTCTCACTGGCAGGGAGGTCGTTTAACTTGTCCGTACCATGTATGCCATACATGTAGCTCAGACAATCCTCAGGATAGCCACTCGAGGGCTACAAATGAGAAATTGGCACGATGCGTTCGTTGCCCTTCATCTTACCATACATCTACGTCTTGTTTACCCGCTGGTTCTGTGATCTTAACCGGTAGTCAAATAGTTTGTCCAAAACATTACCAAGCACCACAGCCTCCGGTAAATGCAGCATGGTGTTTTTTATGTACAAGAGGCGGAAGTCTTATTTGTTGTGACACATGTCCAACATCGTTTCACCTCGAATGTTTAGGTAATTATTTTTGAATAATTGATAATAGCCTGATGCATATATGTATTCATATATACGTCGTATACATATGTATTAATTATAATGAACATCATACATGACGATAATTTTAGGAATTGATGCTCCGGATGGTGCATTTATTTGCGAAGATTGTGAAACAGGCAGGTTGCCTTTGTACGGTGAAGTCGTATGGGTTAAACTTGGTAATTATCGCTGGTGGCCGTCCCGTATTTGTTACCCTCATGAAATACCTGAAAATATAGAAGCTATACCTCACAGTTCTGGTAAATTTTGCGTAATGTTTTTGGGATCGAATAATTATCATTGGGTTCATAGGTGAGCATTTAATCATTGTATTGTTCGATTAAATATCAAAAAGACGTTAATGATGGTATTTTTATTAATCACAGTTTGCTTATTTTGTAGAGGACGGGCTTTTCTTTATCAAGATGGCGACGCTAACATAAAACCACCGATAGGAAAAAAAAATAATAGAGATGATACGTATCGGAAAGCTTTAGAGGAAGCCAATGAGATTCACCAGCGTTTAAAAATCGAAAGAGCAGCTGCTAAAGATCATGGACCACGGGGATTGAAACCTCCACCTTATGTTAAGTTAAAAGTAAAATCTTTGTTATATATGTGATGCGTAATTGTTGTGTACATGTAATGTAAATTCGTTAATATAATATAACATGTAAATTTATAATTCGCATAAATTCATAGGTAAACAAACCGGTTGGTAATGTAAAACCAGCAGAAGTTGAAAGCATTGTGGCGTGTGATTGCGATGCAGAATGGGAAAATCCATGTGCACCGGGGACAGATTGTCTCAATCGAATATTGTTGGTTGAGTGTAGTCCTGGTATTTGTCCAGCTGGGCCCAAATGTAACAATCAAGCGTTCGTACGAAGACAATATCCAGCAATGGAACCATTTCATACTGCAGGACGTGGTTGGGGTCTTAAAAGTTTAGAACTTATTAGAGCGGGACAATTTGTCATCGAATATGTAGGTGAAGTTATAGACGAGGCTGAATACAAACGAAGACTACATAGGAAAAAGGAGTTGAAAAATGAAAATTTTTACTTCTTAACCATAGATAATAACAGAATGATTGATGCAGAACCAAAGGGTAATTTAAGTCGATTCATGAGTGAGTATTCTGTTTTTAACGAAGCAAACAAGTTGATTTATCAATTGAACATTTCAAGTTACTGTTTGTTTTTTTTTCTTTTTTTCTTCCTTAACACTTGATAGACCATTCATGTTCACCAAACTGCGAAACACAAAAGTGGACAGTAAATGGAGATACGCGTATAGGTCTGTTTGCACTGTGCGATATTGATCCCGGTGAAGAATTGACGTTTAATTATAATTTAGCTTGTGATGGAGAAACTCGAAAGCCTTGCCTTTGTGGTGCACCAAATTGCAGTGGGTTTATAGGTTTAAAAGTTCGATTTATTGTCAATTATATAATACTTAGAATAATTTATTATTTCAAAAGTTTCACTATGACAATATTATAAATAATTATTGTGTTATTAGATCGAGAAAACATGTGTTATGTTGGAGATGCGGACAAGAAATTGAAAAATCAGCAGAATATGCCGTTTGCGATCAAAAGACGTGCAATAAGAAGTACCATAAAGCTTGTGTGATCATTGATGATACTGATTCGAGATTCAGTTGCCCTTGGCATCATTGCACGGAATGTGGTCGTAGAACATCCGCACATTGTTCTTTTTGTAGCGCTGCCTTTTGTCAAGGTAAGTAATCTTCTAATACGCTTGCTTATGTTTACCTTTATTGCAAACTTGATTAGTAATAATAACACTGTTGCCGATATAGTACATCTGGATGGAAATCTATTCGAGTATGGTGAAAAAGGTGGTTTTGTTTGTAAGCTACACGAAAGTATGGATATGCAAAGATCATCTGTCGAAGATGAAAAGGATTATTCGGACAATGATACCGAAACAGACAAAGAATATTCTTCTACAGGTACCAACAGTCCATTGATGACAATGGAAAAGTCAGTACCACGCGAACCGTCACCAAGAGTCTCCATAGTAGAGGTGAGGTGAAACTCTGTAATAAAGGTATCGTCATTGCAAATTGTCGGGGAAGATGAGCAATATTATGATCTTTTTGTTTATGCATAGTAAGCTTTCATCCGAAATTATTTTGTGTTTTGAGCGTTTTGAGCGTTGTTAGCTTTTTTCTTTCGTTTATATTATTTATTTAACACAAAAAGTAAACATATAAAATCGGTGATAAATTATCATGGTGGTGGTAAGCATGAAAGAAAATCTTTTTTATATTAAGTAATCTGTTTTTTAAGGGTGGAGAATATTTATCGGTTATTCGGTCGAAATATTGAAAATGTACAAAAAGTAATTACAGTTTTGCATTATCGATAGGAACGATCGTTCTTTATATTTTTCAAATTTGTTTTTGTTTCAAAAGATACACGCTTACTATTTCTCTACAATGTGCAAGTCATACTAACGGAATTTCTTATTTTTTATCCAATATATGGTATTTCACGTTTATATAAAAATCGTAACTGTTATTTTGAATTTTATTAAGTAACGCTATGCTGTGTCTGGTTGTGTGTTTATTTATGTACAAAGAATCGTAACAGAAAAATATGCAATTAACGCTATAATTTCGTACAAACAAATGCAATATTTTCGTTGATAGTTTATCATTAGGATATTTCCAAAAGATGAAAGAAAAAGATTAACGACAATTAACCTTTTTTTTTCTTTTTTTTTTTAAATTGTTTTTCACTGTTCCCAGCATCCTCTCCCTGACATTGGCAGTAGTGAGAAGTAGTAACAAACAAACATGTTCTGTTTAAGTTTATACGTTCAAGTGAGTGTATATTTTTGATATTATCTCTTTTGGACTCCTAATTCGTAGTACAATCATAGTAAGATAAAACTTCTATCTTGTAATTAACAAATAATTTGCAATACATAATTTAGTTCACGTTATTTAATTATGCAACTTAAGTATTGATTGGTGAGTAAATTCCTATCATTCTACGCGTACTTTTTCATGGTGGGTATTCACATTACTGGTAGCACGTTAGTGCACGTAATTTGGCTTTAAGCCTACATTTATTTTTTAAGTTACATAAGCTATTATGCTTCCTAAATACAGTCAAACCTCGGTTCACGAACGCCTCGGATCAAGAACAATTCGGTTTACGAATAAATTTTCCGAATACAAAGCGTCTCGCATGACGTACTGTGTTTTGCGTTTTTTTATAAATTATTAAATAGGACACCATAGGGCTAAAGAAAGATAATGATAGCAGCAAAGTAAAAAGAAAAAATACCAATATCGTGATAGATGTTAAGAAAGAAATCATAGCCAAATATGAAAATGGTGTTCGTGTCTCGGATCTTGCTACTCAGTTTCGGATGGCAAAATCAGCGATCTGTACAATTTTTAAAAATAGAGAGACAGTCAAGAAAACTGATGTTGCAAGAGGAGTGACGGTTATTACTAAACAAAGATCACAGACGATTGAAGAAGTGGAGAAATTGTTGCTAAATTGGATAAACAACAATATGTTAGCTGCCAACAGTGTTTCTGAGGGTATGATTTGTGAAAAAGCAAGGCGATTACACGATGACCTGGTAAAAAATATCCTGGTGATACTGATGTTTTCAAAGCTAGCAGAGGGTGGTTTGAGAAATTTAAGAAAAGAAGTGGCATACATAGTGTGGTTAGGCATGGGGAGGCTGTGAGTGCAAACCAAAAAGCTGCTGAGGAATTTGTGCAAGATTTTAGTGACTATGTAAAGGCTAATGGATTTATTCTCCAGCAAGTATTTAACTGTGACAAAACTGGTCTGTTCTGGAAAAAAATGCCAAGGAGGACATACATCACCCAAGAGGAAGAAGTACTATCGGGATACAAACCAACGAAGGACAGACTGACTCTTTTGCTATGTGGAAATGCAAGTGGAGACTTCAAGATAAAGCCATTACTGGTGTGCCACTTGGAGAATCCGAGGGTGTTTAAGAAAAACAATGTGATAAAAAGTAAATTGCCATTTATGTGGAGGGCTAATAGTAAGGCTTGGGTAACTAGGCAATATTTTATTGAGTGGATTCATGAAGTCTTTGCCCCATGTGTGAAGAAATATTTGCAAGAAAACAATTTGCCACTGAAGTGCCTTCTTGTGATGGACAATGCACCTGCTCACCCTTCTGGCTTGGCAGGCGAGTTGATGGAGGAGTTAGATTTTATCACAATGAAGTTCCTGCCTCCTAACACAACTCCTCTAATACAGCCCATGGATCAGCAGGTCATTTCAAACTTTAAGAAGCTCTATACTAAGGCACTTTTTCAAAGGTGTTTTGAGGTAACCTCTGACACACAATTAACACTCAGAGACTTTTGGAAACACCATTTTAATATTCTTCATTGCTTAACTCTCGTTGACAAAGCCTGGCAGCAAGTGACTTACAGGACCATGAATTCGGCCTGGAGGAAATTGTGACCAGAATGTGTTGCAGGCAGAGACTTTGAGGGCTTTGATAATGAAGATTCTGCTGTTATCGATAATATTGTGTCTCTAGACAAAAACATGGGTTTGGAAGTGAACGATGAAGATGTGGAGGAGTTACTAGAGGACCACAAAGATGAACTCAGCATGCAAGAACTGGAGCAACTACAGAAGCAGCTACAAAAGATAATTGTGGAGGAAATGTCTTCAGAGGAAGAGGAAAGAAGGGAGGATGTTCCTACTTCTTTGATCCGTGAAATTTGTGCAAAATGGGGTGAGGTGCAAAGTTTCGTGGAACGATATCACCCCGATAAAGCAATAGCAAGCTGCAGCATAAACATTTTCAATGATAATGCCATGTATCACTTTAGAAACATATTAAGACGTAGACAAAAACAAATCACACTGGACAATTTTTTAGTGAGACAGAGGCCCAATGGGTCTGAAGCAGAGTCGAGTGGTGCCAAGAGACAGAAAAAAGAAAAAGAATCCCCTTCCAAACAATAACATTTCACTTCCTCACCACCTTCCACTTACGCCGTCAACTCTCCTCCATACAGGTACGGCAAAACTAAATTAAGTTTTCGTCTATATTTGATCTGCTTAGCGTTGTGTTTATCTCTTTTGTAATAGATTTAATGGTTTCCATTGATTTTGTGTTAAGAACTTGCGCACAAAGTACTGTTGTAAAAGTTTAAATAAGCAATGATCTGGGGTCCAGGAACGGATTAATCCATTTTACATTAATTCTCATGGGGAAAATAATTTCGATTTACGAACATTTTGGTTTACGAACGACCTTCAGGAACGAATTAAGTTCGTGAACCGAGGTTTGACTGTACATATTTATCAACAGTAGCGTTTTCTTAGAAGGTAGTTAGAGAGAATTATTAATTTTGTGTTATATACTATATACACGATGAAGATACATAATCTGATGAAGGAGATTTTAAACGGCGACATTCTTTGTAGGTTCACCCAAGCAGTGAAGAAAGTGAAGAATCTCAGAAAGAAGACGATGAAGAAGTAACACGGTCTACTACTTTTATGCCTTGTGAATACAGTTCGAAGAGTACGAAGAGAAAAACATTACACCGATTATCTCTAAGATTAAAAGAGGAGAAGGATCAGGTAGAAGAATTAAATAATCTTACATCTAGTCAACTGGAAGCCATAATCGGTGGCAGTCTATTCGAATGAACAATCTCGTTGATTAGGTTTGAATGGTAAAATATATTTCAATATGCATAGCTTCAAATCTTTACAATTGGCAAATCACGAATCGTGTAAAGATAAATAAGACACAACCGTGACCACCAATGTGAGATGATAGTATTTACAATTATATAAATTGTTTGCAAAACATTCATTCCATGTCAGTGGTGTCAGCTGAAAAACAAATTTTAATAAATATTCAATTCTATTGAAAGAACTATTCATAACATGATTATTTTATCATGTGTCAGTGTATGTAACGAATCAGTAACTACACATACACACATGCATATACATACATTTCCTTTAAAAATATAAATTTGTTCGTTAAAAAAATCCGTAAATATTTATAATTAATCAGTGCAACTTCGATTAATTGTTCTCGGTAATATACAAGGTATTTCAATTATCTTGAATGCATAATATCTCCGTTATTTTTGCCATACAAAATACATACATGCCATACAAAATACATATACAAAAAATTGTTCCAGGACAAAGTTGCTTGGTTTAGAACGACGAATATTGTAATTCATGATTTCTTTTTTCTTTCGAGGTCATTTTTTCCGAGTTTTCAAGATCATCGTCATTTTTCGTGTATTAACATCTGTTTTTTGTCATGCGACATTATAGTGCACATCAAGATGAATTCAACTACCTGCAACACCATGACATTCAAATGACCTTAAATGAAAAAGAATTACGTTACTTTAAAGGAGAGTGGGGAATTCAACATTCTTTGTTTTCTGTACAAAATGTTTATTCTGTAACAAATGTTCAGTATGATTTCATAAAGTGCGTTTTAGATTATAACTTTACTTGAAAAAGATTTTGGCGTTGCTGCTTCTAACTTTATAAACATGTTACCAAACATGTTGTCTCATAGGCCATGGTTGAAGAATCTGTTGGCCAGCGAGATCACCAGAACTTACTCTGCTTGATTTTTGTTATGGGGATAGATAAAATTCAAGTTTATAATGAAGTCGCTACCACACCAGAAAATATGCAAGAAAAAATTTTACACACTTGCAATACCATTCCTCTAACGGAGATCAAACGTGCGAGGAAGTGTTTCATATTCCGTATTTGAAAATGCCTTGAATCTAATGGAAATCATATTGAACATTTGTTGTAGAATAAAAATTTTGTACAGAAAACAAACAATGCAGAATTTCCCAATCTCCTTTAGAGTAACGTGATTTTTTTTTCATTTAAGGTCATTTAAACGACATGGTGTAAGTTGTTGAATTCGTCTTGATGTATCAGCAAAAATAACGGAAATATTAAGGAATCCATAATAAACGAAACACCCCGTATATGTAGATAAATATATGTATATGTATATGCTAAGTATCGTGAATATAAAACTAGTCTTTATAATAAACATGCACAATGATCTTGTACTGAACAGTGCAAGGTGAATATATAGAGAAATTATTATAAACACGTTTTAGATGTTATTCAGAAAGCGGTTTGACATGGAATGACATTGTTTATCTGCAATTAAAAAGTACTGTTGAGTTACAGTACATGCGTGCGTGCGTGCGCAATAGTTCTTCATTCGATTTCCCTAAATACACGGTATTTTATTTAATTTATAATTATATCATACTAATTCAATATCTTGAATTAACTTGAACATATGTATGGATGAACTTTTGAGGGTCCAATGTTTATTTTGTACAGTACATTTATGCGTTAATTAAATAATTTTTTTAAAATCTCTTTCACATTGTGACTTTTAAATATTTATCTATCATACAAATGGTCGTGTCAGTGAAACAGTTGTCGAAGTAATTGTATTTTTAAATTATAGCAAATGTCTTCACACTGCCTTGTAAACTTTTGAAAGTTTGTATTACACGATACGTGTTCTTTTTAGGGGTATTTACTATTAAGGCATCAATTAAATGAAATCATCATATTCTTAATAATTATATTGTAAAATATTTTTTATGCTTTCAGTTTATTCATTTTAAATGTATACTATTTCGTTGGACTGAAACTTAATAATCTATATTAGAAAAATTATCTCCTAAGAAATTTATAGAAATGAGGATACAGTAAAACGAGGAAAATCATATAAATTTATGTACGTTTTTTCTTATGTATTTTAAATTGTACATACGTAAGATGAGATGTGCCCTTAGTGAAAAAAATGCCAACAATTGTTTTGTAAATAAAAATTACTGAGATTTCTCAGTTCATAGTACGTATTTAGATTTTAATAATTGCAATGTTTAATAATAATAACAACAACAACAATAATAATAACAAAAAAAAGAATATTAATAAGGAACATGTCCTTTTATGGGAACACAAAATGAATCACAAAATATTGTTACATATAATTTTAATTTTTACGTTAATTGTCGTTGTTACTTAAAGCATTTTTCATGGATTACAAAACAAGTCTCTAAAAATCGACAATTTTGTAATTAAATTAAGTATTTGTATAATTTACAATTAAATATTTGTATACTTTCCTTTACAAAAGTAAATACTCGAAAATTGTAATAGAATTTTGTTTGATTCTTGTGACATGTACAATATTTGAAATCAAACGTATAGAAATGTATAGTAAAATATTACTAGTGAAATAACCATTTTTTCTTAGAAATCAAAGCTATGCAAATCATACCCATGTGATCAAATGCTGCAAATGATGCAAATCATTCGCATATGCGAATCATGATTAAAGGTATACAAAAAAAAACAGATAAATATTGATCAATTTCATTTTTATTGGTATTTCTACTTTTGTTATTGCGTTATTATTATTCGGGCAACAATCTGTATTTTGCGTTGTTTTTAATTGTTATATAAATGAAACATTATCGAACTATCTTTTTTTTATGTCAGATAGTCTAATCTCGATATTTTGATGTGCTTTTAAATGAGAAAGTATATAAAATTATAGAAAATATATATTTGTGCACTTGTTATACACCTTTCATTTTATAGGGTTTTTAACGCGTTAGAAATAGACTCGTTTTTGTTTGCAAAGAGATATTATCGTATTTACTTATACGATATAACATATAACATTTAAATAATTAAGTACTATTCAACGTACTCCACTGTTTACACCGCACTGCTTTAATACATCACGCTTGTATAATGAATGTCGTACTCTAATTAGAAAGTTATTATGCTCGTAATTCTTTACCGTAATCCTGATAAAGATGCGGATTCTCTTGTACCGAAGAAGCATTAGTATTCGTTAAACTTGACGGATTAAGATCGAAATCCGAACCTATAGATACGACCTCTTCTAATGTGGTCTGCTTATTTCGTAACATGGGTGCAACGAAATTCTGACCAGCTGTAAAATCTCTTTTCTGCGTTTGTGTCTAGAAAAAAATAGTTTCACGATTATGCAGACAATTTCAAACTACGGTTCAGCTGGTTATGTGAAACTTGAAAGAATACAACTATACTTTAGACTTTGATGTGAATAAAGTTGCACCGGTGAGAAGACCTAATATACTTGCAATAAGACCAGTAAGTTGTACCGCGGCTAAGGGCGAGAGCCCTCTTCTTACCAAACCTAGAGCCAGCAATGCTGCTTGTGCCAAAATCGGAGCGGTTCCGGTGGCACTTGCTGCTGCACCTGCTAACTGACCACCACCGACACTTGGTCCATAAGCGAAACATAAATTGTGCCTATCCACCTGTAATATGTAATATATTCATTACAAAGAATTTAAGATAAGACGTTCAAACATACCAAGTGTTTCACTACGAGATACAACAATCCAAAAGGTGTAATTAATGGGCAAGCTAAACTGTACACTGTTGTCATGATAAACACTAAGAGTAACCAGGCATAGTGAGCACCTAGGGGAAATTCCCATAATACTGCTTTTCTAACATGTATTCTTTCCGCCCTACTACGAGCTATGCACAGTCTTAAAGTATAGAATGCTAGCTCGGTAAATCTGACCAATTCCAATCCAGTTCCAAGCAAAGCTGCAGTAATTACATAGTTTACAAACAACGCACCCTAAAAAAATGTAATAGTCTTTGATATTTCTGTACATTTCTAAAGATCCATGATTTCAAAATAAACCATTTCATTGATCCTATCGCACCTGATCAGGTAAAAATACACAGTCCCATCTTCCAGTGTCATTTTTTGCGTTTACAGTCCATTCTAAAAATGCCTGTGCGCTAGTTAGACCTAAACTGGGCAATATGAGAACCATCAGTAATAAAAGAAGTAACGTCTTTGTCATTACTGCTCGATTTAGGCTACTTCTAGTCCAGTGTCTAACTAACGATTCGCTTCTTGCTACTAATACGGGCATTAAAGCAGCCACGCTAACTAATAATACAGTTGGAAGAAAGGATGAAACGATTGGACTAAGATTCATAATTTCTCCTGTAATCGGTAGTTTGTTTAAGGCAGATACTATTACCTGCAATTAAATGTTATATACTTATGTAACAGGTTTATTAATAAAATCGAAATAGATTTTAACATATTTTATCAACAGTATTGATACAAATACTTACAGCTGGTGTAGTAAGAAAGAATAGTACAATGCCCAATGCGAAGTTTATGAAAATAGCATTCACATACCAATATGGTCTTGGTATGCTCAGATTTTCCCAAAAAATGTCAGATGGTGCAGGTGCATATTTTACAACCCATTTTATACTAGGTAAAGAGCACAATTCTTTCCTCATAGCTTTAGCCGCATTAGGTGTACCTTATCATTATCATTATCATTATCATTATCATCATTGTCGTCCTCATCGTCGTTATTATTATTATTATTATTATTAGTAGTAGTAGTAGTAGTAGTAGTAGTAATATTATTAAAATTATCATGATAATTATTATTACTACTATTATTATTATCGTTATTGTTACTGTTATTATTGCTGTAGTGTTTATTGTTTCGTAAAAATGGAAAAGTTATTTATAATGTGTATCATTTAACTGATTACAATTGAGCATAGTTAAAAAATAACATATTATAAATCAGCAGATACATAATATACAGCATGTAATAACAACGAACAATTATGACAAAATAGTAACTAACCTAATGTCACGAAGGCTACTCCAAGAGGTCTGCTTAGTGCCACCTTTTTCTCTTCTTCGAATAATACACTCAGTCGTATTTCTTCGTTCGTATAAAATTCTTGAGCATCAATTTTCTGTGAAAAAGAGAAAGGAAGTATGTTATGGTGAATTTATTGCAATAATTTTGTAAAAGTATACCATACATTTTTACAACAACAACCTATCACTTGGCCACAAGGGTGTGGGTACATTTCCAGTGGCTGTCTTTTCTTTGCATAATTTTCACAGTATAAGCGTGCTTGTTCAGCACAATCTCTTTTCATATCCAATACAGCAAGGCGCCTTATATCATAAGCCAATGCAACTTCTTCCACTGTTAAAGTAGGAAATGTTTCTCTGCAAGAAGTCATACTTTAAGGGAAGCAAAACAAACAATAATTTTTTTTATATGTAAATATAAATTTTCATACTTGAAATAATCTGTAAGTATCTGTACATTGCACTGATGCTTCGGTATTTCTGTTATTAATAATGTCCTGGCTGCCAGTTCGCCAGTGTGTCTAGACTCTCGAACCTGTGTAATATGTATTTTTTACTATTTAGTCGTATTTATCGTTGTTCTATTTCCATTTAAAGGATAAGTACAAGTTATTTATTTGAATAATAAGATTTACCTTCTTCAGAAAATGCCTCATAATATACCCACCAATTGGCAAGTAGAATAAGATTAATATTGTATGCACCCAAATCCATGGAGACATTGGATCCAAATTTGATAATGTCGTATGACCAAATGTTGCATTATTACCTTGCATGTTTCCATGAAAATTTATTGGAAGAGCTATGCATAATGATATAATAACCATTAAGCATATTAAGACGATTAAATGACGTTCAAATGATATGTATAATAATCCGTCTGGTCCAGCGCGTTGTAACAGTTCTTCATCGCTAATATTAAATATAAAATATCATACTTAATTTTGTTCAAATATTTTATACAGAACTAATTAAACAATATATACAGGGTGTCAAATTTTAATCTATAAATGTGAATTACTCGTGAACTACCCGCTGTATGAAAAATTGTTCACAGAGGAATTGAATGGTTTCAAGGGAGACATAATCTGGTGTAATTAGTGTTTTTGTAAATGGATGTGTAGAAGTCATATGAAGGTGACATACGTTTTCTTAAATGGAATTATATAATTTTTAATGCATTAGTTAATGCAGCTTTTTATTTCCTATAAAAAAGTATTAAGGTATTTATGTCGAAAGACTATTAGTTTAGGAGATATTTTAGTCTCAATATTGCAAAGTGGTACTAGTACACCTATTTGCACCTATATTTTTTGAATTAACAGTGGACATTGTTTTTTATAAAATGATAAGAGGGCATTGAGATAAAGTCAATCATATCATTTCATGCAAGCATATATGTATGCTAAAGATTGTGAAACAAAAACTTAATACATTTTAGGTAGTTTGTTATACTTACGTAACTCTGAATGCAGTAATGATCCATGACAAGAAACCTTTATCAACATGTGAAAGTTGAGAATTAACAGAAGTTTCTACGCACAGTCCATCTGTATCTCTACCCTCATTGTCTCCATAAAATAAATCCATCCATCTTTCATCAGTTGTGTTCAATAATGCAAGACGTCCATAGTTCCATGCTTTTTTGCGCAATAAGCCAAACAATATGAGAAGGAACTGTCACAATATATTGTAGTATTGAACAAAATTATTAAACAAATATTATGATACATTATCTTACATTTTATAACAATAATCAATTATAATACATAATGTACATGGGTATAATTTTTATACATTACCAAAAATCCACAAAAATTTAGCAATAAATTTTCAGGTATGCCTGCATAAGCATCAGTTATTATTGTTGTATTATATCTTGGAACTGGAATACATTTTTCCGTGGGTAGAATTTCATGCAGATTCAAGCTGTAATTTAAATAATAATAATTCAAAATATCACATTGAACTAACAAATACAGTGCTTATTCTATGACAATATTCAGAAAAACGAATATAATCTGCATTCAAAAATGTAACCTAATGACTATTATGATTGTAATTATGATAAGTATTCCTTTTTTTTGCAACAAGTATTTGTTCCATATGATAAATAGTGAATATATTTCTTGCAGCTAAATTTTTATAAAATATGTAAAAATTCTTTAATAAATCATTAAATTATTTTCTAACGAATGAAAAATTAAAACAATTTAAACATAATTAATTATTTACTATGTACCTACGTATGTGCGTGTACAAACATATGAACACATGACATACATGTATATGCGTAAATATACTAGTTTTATCATAAACAATGATACTGAAATATTGAAAATGTGAGAAATAAACGATTTTACAATCGAAAATCGTATCTGTACAGTAATAAAGGAGTTACAGCAGTTCAATCGAATTCCATAAAGATCTACATTTTGCTACTTACTCATCGTATGCGTAATCCATATTCCTTGGAATATTTATATCAATATACGCTTACTTAAATACAAAAGGACATATCAACAAATGCGTGTCAATTTGACACATTGTACACTAGTACAGTTAGTTTAGAGTAGCTGCAAGTGTAAGCGTTAACGTGATCTAACCTGAGAATGATTATGATCGAGATAACATGTTTTCAATTTGTTCAAGTTTTATCAAGTTTTGCTTTTGCTCAAGTTGACTCATATCATCATTGGCTAATGATAAAACATATTTTTTTGTAGTAACATTGTTGAAATCTTGTTAGCTTTGTTCTGATTCAATTTATTGAAAAAATATTTTGAAAAGATGTTTATAACACCTAGTAAATTGTTAAATAAATGTATATGTATACAATTATATATACAATATTATACAAATTGTGTAATATATATATGTATATATTTTTATACAGGGTGAGTCACGCAGCAATTGGAACGTGTTCTATCTCTTATTTAATAAGGGATACAAAAATGTTGGAAAAGAGAAAGTCGAATGGTATAAAAAGATCTTCCTATGGCTTCACTTTTTTCGTAAGTGCAATGATGCACCTTTTTGTTACGTAGATCGACTCTTCGGAATATTTCGTGTACAAAGGTATGGAGGTATGATACTAGAAAAATCAATACTTGGTGAAATCTTTTAAAGTTTTTGTAAGCATGTAAATGCTTTCTATGTGACGGTGGAATGTTCAAACACCTTCTTGTATAAAGCATATGTTGTATCAAAAATTTGAAATATCGCACAAAGTATTGATTTTTCTAGCACCATATTGTCCTGCTTTTATACGTAACATATTTCGAAGAGCCGATCTATGTATTAAAAAAATATGCAGTTTCATTTTAAGAAAACATATATATGCTCTTTTTAGGTGCATCGTTATACTTACGAAAAAAGTGAAGGTGTAGGCAAATAAATCTGATATTATTCAACTTTTTATTTTAGAACTTTTTTCTATCTCTAACCAAAGAGATATAACCCGTCCCAATTACTGCATGACTCACCCTGCATAACATCGTGTACAACTTCATTTTTTAATATGAAAATAATTGTTACAATTGGACAATTTGAATCATATTTAACTTATTTTTAAGAAAACAAAATTTAATCTACATATTGAGCACTTGGGAAAACAGCGATTCTGTTTCGTTTTTCAGTACAATTATATGGATTAATTTATGGTAATATATAAAATTAATAATTTTAAATAAAAAGTTACAGTTTATTTTTGCTAGACATAATTAAATTATATCTACATTAAATAGATATCACATATGTATGTACATATATACAAAATTGCAAGAAATATAATCATGCGTGCAATTGTTAGAACGACAACTGCCCGCTTAATTGTCGCAGTTTAGTTCTGAACCTATAGGCAGTATTATATTTTAGACATGATTTGTTCTTGATGGCAAGTATTATTTTATACATACTTTATAACTTTTATCAATCTATCGAAGGTCGTTGATACTGATTGCATGGTTGTAATTCACCCAATGTAATACAATCTAAAACCCATGCTTCTTTCAAACCTCCTACACCAATCAGAATTTTTGCTGTTTCTGGATTTTCAGTAATACAACCGCCTGCAGCTTTTATGAGGCCTTTCAGTACATCACAAGGTGGTGTTGTACTCTTTTGAACATTTATATATCCACAAGCAGTAAACAATTCTGAAATATAGGCCTTTCCAAACAGCTGTCTATCTTTCCGATTTTCCTGCAAATTGCAAGATATATTACTTATTATATTACATATAATATACATAATATATAGTTAACCATGTACATAATACATATGTATGTCTTGATATAATTGTACATTTCATTTACCAGTACTGCTTTTGAAAAATGCGCCATTTCATAGTTTTCTGGATTTAACCATGCATCATTTTCTAAAGATTTTAAAACCCATTCGAGGCTGACAATCCAACAGCCTCGTATGATACCATGTAGCAGATTTACTGTACGTACACCCGTACTTACAACATGTGTCGTACGTTTTGTAACATTTGATTCAATCTTTGCTAAACCGAGAGCTCCAACGACGCTTTTAACCACATCCTTATCTCTGCAAAAAGAACACACCTCGCAACAGTTAATATTTAATTGATATATAAAATAAGGTAATTGTAAAAAGTACCTGATTATAAATATCTAATTTATAATTTTATAGTATATTATATAGGATAAGAAGGTTACTTACTCATTAGATAAACCTGTTGCAACAATATTTATTCTCTGTATTTGTTTCCGCGATGACCTTTTCAGAGACTGAAAATCATTCGTTGAACTTCTTTTCAGAGTACAAACGTCTGTTTCTATTTCACTAAAATTATCTTTGTTTTCTTCCAATTTTTTTAAAATGTCTTCATCAACAATTTTTTTAACAACAATTTTTTTACTAATTACCTTTTTCGGTTTTTTTATTTGCTTTTTCTCATTGTAATCTTGATTTTCTTTTCCCTCACTCTGTTCTATGTTGTTGATATTAAATTTTTTATTACATTTATTCCTTCTTTTCTTGTGCTTTTTTCTAAGTATTAAGTGTCCTAAAGGTGAACACTCTTTTTGTACTGGAGAAAATGATGCTAACTGTGAACATTCACCAAGAGGTAATAGTTTTCTTTTAGATTGTCCTTTGTCAGAGAATGATACTAAATGTTTCATATTTCGATCCTTTTTTGATTCACTAGTATTTGTTGATTTTTCAACGTTCACAGATGTTTGTGTTTGAACATGTGACATCTCACAACATGAATTGTTCAAAATAATCGTGTTATTTACAATGCCACTGCATTCACTGGTATGATCTTTATGTAAAACTATTTGATCTTGTTGTTGCATTTTACAGTTTTTTACTTTTTGATCGTTAAAATTGTTGTTCTCAGTATTACATGAATTAAAGATATCCTTTTCATTCCCCATTAAACTTATGTCCTTCATTGTGAAATCAACTATATTACTTTTTTGCAATTGATTTGAAATATCTAACGATGTATTCATTTGTAATGAAGTAGAAATAGTATTTATACTTTCTTGTGTTTGCAAAACTATCGAATGCATACCTTTCAGTGTATTTTCCAAACTTGCACATTTTTTCTTCTTATGGTTTTCCCATTTATATTTATTTGTACTTTTGTTATTCTGATTTTCCACATCAACTGATGTGTTAACATTTAAGGAAGTTTGTACTGTATTTACACTATCTGTTTCTAAGCTTTTACCACTTAATCTAAGCTTACAGTTTATATTGTTAAGGGGCAAGTTATTTGCATTTTGAAAATATACATCATTTTCAATATCTGATACTTTGTTGTCTATCATTGTGGAACAGCCAATTGGTACCACTGTAAAAGCATTTTCACCTTCAGAAATTTTTGAAGTGCAAAGAGAATCACCCTTACAAACTATAGAGCAATTAATTCTATGTCTGTTTATTTCATTGGAATTATTAGATATTTCATATTTTTTTGTTAACATATTGCTACTGCTATAATTATTACTGTTTGATTGTAACATCCACTGTTCAGAAGTATGACATTTTGAATTAATCTTATCATCATTATTGTTTGTATTATTTACATGTTTAAATAATTGTCTCTTCTTTAATCTGTTTTGCTTCTCCTGGTTGCTAATATTCTTATTTTTGCATTCATCTCTTACTGTACTACCTATACTTTGATTTAAACTGCTTTTTCCATTTTTAGTGCTTAGAATTGTACACGTCTTAATAGATAATTCATCTTGTTCAAGGAATATTTGCTTAGTTTTAGCTACAATGGTGTTCTTTAACGTTTCACAATTTTTATGTAAAGTAGCATTGTCTTTATCTATTTTTTCTAAAATTATGCTTACGTTTTTTAAAGGAATGTTAGAAGAAAAATTTCCATTATCGATATCAGACCCAGTATCTATTCGTTCGAGCGAAGCATTATTAGAATTTTGTAAGTTTGAGTCACAGCTTAAATTAACTTTCAGTGAGCTACGTTGACGTCTAAATCTACTATTACAATCCAAGATTGTCTCGATCCTCTTGCTTTTGTTTACCTTCATTATTTACATTTTTAGTATTAAGCAGTTTCAAAGGATTTTTTAACTTCTTTAAAGCATCTTCATAATTAGTTGGAAATAATATACGTAGTATCAGTTATTTGAACAATCACATAACACTCGCAATCACAACGTAACACATTATTTGTCATAGTTGCGATTGTTATTGTTAGTTTTGTATTTCTATAAAGGATATTTTCAAAACGTTTAAACACGCTTAATCAAGCATACCGATGTTCTTGAAGTTGTCCATTATCATATGCATGTATGCACAACACAAGAGAATATTTAAAATGACCAATTTAATAGAATGAGTATTTTCTTTGTGAGCTTATTGGACATATATAGAGAAATTTCTAAATATAATTTTGAGGATTATTAGATATTGTATATTCTACATATCAATTGAATATTACAGAGTATTTTACGAAATGTCATGTATATATAAGGTTGATATCATTGAGGAAAAGGGTACAACTTCAAGATGGTAAAGTGGTTCTCAATGTTCCGAGCGGTGACAGAACGTCATCTTTGTATGCATAAATAACTGATCTGTATTCATTTGATAAGTGTGTACGAGTATCTGTCAAAAACGGGAATTGATTTTAATATGGAAACTACCAGTCATGATGACTATTACTTGGAATTATCTTCTGATCCAATTAAATTTGAATCAGTCAGCTGTGTGACAAATGTCTTCTTCGATGAATCGAAACAACAGGTTAAAAGTTTATTCGTTTTACGTAAATAGGGTAATTTCGATGTAAAACTTGTCTGTTTACAGGTATTCGCAGTCCGATCAGGGGGTGTAACAGGTGTATCAGTGAAAGGACCAAATCAGAATATAAATTTTCGAATGGAAGATAAGGGCGCAGTGATTTCTATTAAATTTTCTCCCGATATGAATATACTAGCGGTACAACATAACAACTCTTCGGTCGAATTTATTAATTATTCCCCGGTGACTGGGCTAGATAATATTGAATATTCGCATTCGTGCAAAGGAAAAAATGCCACTATATTGGGATTCGTTTGGACACACGGAAACGAAATATTGTTCGTAACCGATTACGGAGTCGAGTTGTTTCAAGTATGAAAAAATTTGTATGTATATATATGTGTATATGCGGTTAAAAAAACGTTTAATTGTTTTAGGTGAATCCAGAGAAACGGAACGTCAGAGTTTTAAAATGTTTAAGCTTAGGAGTAAATTGGTTTGTGTTTTGTCCTCAGAGTTATTTGGTATTATTATCGTCCGGTACAGTAGGTAATCAGATGCAAACATTGCATGTAACACCTGGAAATCTTCATAAATTGACGAAATTTGAAGGTAAGACATTTAAAGAGGTTCATATATTGATCGGTTGATATACATATACATACATGTATATCTATGCAGATGTGTGGTGATAGTCGTAGCGATAATCCATGATAAAATTTTTTTAGTGGAACCTGGTACAACGAAACCAGGCAAGCTGGCCGTTTACGACAGAGACGTAGCACTAGCAGTTGTATATGGAACGCCGTGCATTATTTTGTTACGTCATCAACCAATTACTAATCGTTCGACGGGGACTGCTTCTGTATACGTATATACCGTTCATAAGTATGCTTTTGACAATTATTATTAATTAATTGAAAACCGATTTGATACCTACTGCTCGATACGTCTGTATTGTGTTTCTATACTTTCAAGTAGAATGACAACGATCAAAAGAAGTCATATCTTAAAGCTCGACGTCAGCGGTAAATTTGCCGTTAACGTTGTAGATAATCTTATTATTGTTCATCATCAAACCACGAAAGTAAGTAAACAGGGCAGAGTGGGTGGAGAAAGGAAGAAATTTAGCGTGTAATGCGTAACTGACATTCTGCGGCCTCTCAAACGCCTTACCTTTTCAGACTTCCATGATTTTCGATATTATGTTACCGGGTGTCAGCGATGGTATTGTAATGCATCATACTAGCTTGGTACCAGCGATGCCGATCAAGCCGTATAGTTTGAAAGTTCCAGGAGCAACGTTATCAAACGAAACGTATCAACCGTGCCAATTGTGTATCCTTGATAACAAAGATAGGTGTTCCTGCTCTCTTTGCATTTTCCTCATATTTTTCCTTAATATTACACGTAGATGCGCCAAGTTGGGTCGTTTTTCAGCCAAACATAATAATCGATGCGAAACTGGGTTGTGTCTGGTAGGTCTTGT